TATATTATATTGTGTGGTGTATATATTGTATATATTCAGTGAAATACGGGTGTAATAGTTGGTGTGAAAAGGGTCAAATAACGTGGTTATAGCGTGGCAACAAAGGTGTAAGGTTGTGTGTAATTCAGAGTACAGGGTTTTAATAATGTTTAAAATGGGTCCAAATAGAGGTGTACTTTGGTGTTAATAAAGGAGTATGTGGTTTAATAACGGAGTAGTAATAGGTGTAATACGGGTGTGATTAATAGAGGTTTGTAATAGGAGATATAATGCGGTGTGTAATAACGGAGTAGTAAGTAAGGTACATACATTCATGCGCGATCTAGATCCCTCCGCTTCCGTGTCCGGGCTTCCTGACCTCACCTGTCGGCCTGTTCTTTCCCCATAGATGACCAAGTCGCTGCACATTATCCCGCTTAAATTACATGGCCCACATTCTCAATCACGCCGTTATGACTCACTATAGCATTGAAATGCTTTTGTGCTTTAGAAACATGATTTTACTGTGGATTAAAAAAAGTGTTGTATTAGATTTATAATTGACATCCTCGCCATCCCTCACACGCCACAACTAGTCCGTTGTCCGTTGAAGCTAACGTAGCAACGGCAGGAACTGCTTTCTGATCAGCGCGGTTTTCCGTAGAGAAGCTTTTTGATTACAGATTTGAAAACATCGCTGCTTGCTCTTAAAAGTAGCACACTTTCATTATGTCAAACTTGGAAAGCTATTAGATATCCCTGCCCCTAATGCAAAGTACTGCACACTGAATATGTGTCGGCGTTTGATGTCTATGTGTGGACCGCTGGCGCGCAAAAAGGAGGATTTCTGCCCGTTACTTCGCGCTGTTTTCCCTTGTCATTCTTGTCCTTGTCAGTTAGAAAAGCCAAACTGCATGCAGTTTGCTTTCGGCCAAACTGTTAGCGAGTTAAAACTGCACCGACTTGTTTCGATGCAGCATTGTGAGCGTCCTTAACAACGGTCAATAAGTGCTTGACAGCGGTCTGTCTGTTCCGGATTGACAACGTGTCACGTGTTCTTAATTGACCAATCAGAATCGAGTATTCAACTAAGCCATGTAATAAAGGTGTAATACGTGTGTTATAATGGTACAATAGAGGTGTAATAGAGATATAATGTGGGTGTAACAACAGAGAAATCTGGGTGCCATAAGGTTGTGATAATGGTGTAATAAAGCAGTCCTAATGTGTAATATGGGTGTAATGTAAGAAAAATCAATCAATTAATTTTCAAAAATACTTAAAAGTGATTGCGAAATTAAGGGTTAAACGAGCAGACCTTTATGAAATATTACCCTGCTGCTACCTCCAACTCCTCCCTCCCTCTCCTCTACTGAATGTTTCTTCTGGCACTCCGCTCCCCTGTCTGTGTGCATCAACAAACACATGAAGAGGAACCAGCAACTGTATTAACAGATGGCCAGAGTCAATAAAACACACACAAATCAAGTGTTGGACACATCTGTTGTACGTGGAGTCTGACTAATCTTTCTGTGTGGCTTCGACAGCAGTGATGGAATCGCAGCAGCTCGGCCAGATTAGAGGGGACGGGGCAGATCACCCAGGGGGCCACAAGCAGCTTTGTAATGGATCGTAGAACGGAGATAAAGCCCCGATAGAGGCCAGGGGGGACGTGTTTCGGTCAGATAGAGTCAGTAGCGTGGATAAGAGCCAGAAATGAATGTCCTATCATGTTTTCATTAGCTTACTGTGGAGAACACTTTCTATAAAGTGTTTATGGAGCCATTATCTGAGTAAAGTTGAATTTTTACAAGACACCGGCAAGGTTACAGAAATCCTTAACCACTAAACATGAGGATATGGATAATTCACTTCACCGTACAGCATGTCATTTTATATTGTGATATCATATTAAAGAGTTAACTGAATATTATAAGAACTACTGTAGCAGGCTTTACATAAGAGCACTGAAAATAAAAGTAAATTATTCTTACATCAAATATATAAATGAAACCACTTTCAATAACCCATCTATTCATGTTCATTTTAAAATCATATAAGGCCTCATTTTTCTACCTTAAAACCACACACTTGTTAAACTAAGAGAACTAACTACTTGACTAAATCAAACTATTTCATAACTCGAATGCAACAGTGATAAACCAACATGTCTATAAAACAGTCTTGCTCACAGTTTTCCCATTCTGCCCAGAGATAATAAAAAGATAGCTTCCAGCACGGTAAAACTTCTGACAGTTGAAGGATTTCAAACTCTTCATAAAACACTAAATACATAATAAAATGCTAATCGTTTGGTGCCTAACGAACTTGAAATATCCAATAAACGTTAAGGTGGCCGAGCCTCACACCTGATTTATGCTTGACACATCAACAAGGTACGTCACACCATCGGACCATCGGCAGGTTTTCGCCTGTCAAATAACATTGTCTTGCTTTGTAATATAGCAAAATGAACTTTTAGGAGATTTAAGACCATTAGTCAGCCGTGAAGAGAAACCTGCATTATGGCTGTGTCAAGTTTGTTGAAATGTTTGGGACAGTCGACTCACTAACTGTGTGACAGAGAGAAGTACTGTAGCTCCTGGGAGCAGCTTGTAAAATATACAAGACAGACAGTGATTAACAGAGATAGTAAAAACACAGGGAAGAACTGTATTGACAAAAACTGAGAACAAACTGAAGAGAAAACACAGAGAGACAATCAGTCTGACAAAATCCTAATTAAAGAATTAAAAGGGCCTAATAGATCCTTCTATCTCAAAAAAGTTATTTTGGAGACGCCAATGCCTTGTGTTTTGCTATAATTCATTAGTTATTGTTGGGTACATTTTATAGGAATTGTAATGACATAATGAGGTTGTAGAATATTCTTCAGAGGGGTTTAGTATTTAATGAGTTGCACAACCATGGCAGCATTTGTTGCTGACACGTCCACTCCAGCAGCCTCTTGCGTCAATGGAAAGTCAAACATTACCAGCGAGATTTCATTGGGAATAAGCCATTATGGAAAGGCCAGCCCTGCAGTGAGTGGAGTGATGTGACAGTGAATGGCTGCTGCCGGTGATTACAGGCCAGGTTAATGCTGCACAATGTTAATCCTGCATTTGTCTGAAAACACATCAAACAAAAATATCGCAAAAGCTGACTAGCGGTGAGCTGGCTGTGAAAAAATAAATGTTCCCAAACATCAAACAGATGTAATCAGATGAGCTCGATAAGCATTCGGGGCTCGGTTAATTCCCAACAAATTATCTAATCCAGATGTTGCACTCTTAGTGTAAACACGGTGCCCTGCAGAATCATAAAACAAATAAGCATGAAAAAGGTTTAAAGTTTCAAACAGAGCCTAACCCTGGGCCGAGACCTTTCCACTGAGGGAAAAAAAAGAAAAGAAAAGAAAAATCCACACCACACACTCCCCCCTCTGCTGCCTTCTTGAAACAGGAAAATGTAAATATGGTAATATTTAGCACGTGTTTTAAAACAGATCGGTTTTCTCAAGCAGGGAGAAGCAGAGGGAGAGGAGAGAGAGAGAGGCGGACGGGGAGGAAAAGGAAGGAAAAAAGCAGGCCACACACGATAGAAAGGCCTCCTCGGATTTGTGTGTGTGTTCCAGTCTGTGCGATGTGGACAGGCTGCGGCTTCCTCTGTTTGCACACGGCCCCACCAAGAGCCCGAAACCCGGCGCTGATGGCCTTGACACGCTCCAAAACACCAAACTGGATCTGTCACACTGTGAGTCTAGAGAGTCAACAACAACTTAACAATAGGAAAACACCACTCCAACGGGTCATATCATCCATCTGTACGCCGCAGCCATTTTTCATGGAGGGAAAATAGGAGGTGGAAGATAAAGGAGGGGGGGACGAGAGAGAGGAACAGGGAGAGAGAGCAGAGGGAGGAGCAGAAATGGAAACATATGGATGTGTTTAAGGACCACCAGGGAAGGGAAACTTGTGCATTTTCGCATAAACCCTGATAAACTCCAAATATGTAATTACACGGGGTTTAAGGCTTGTCTGTTGCCGATTCATTCAGGAATTTCTGGTTACGTCTCTCTGAGAGTTGGGGTGTAACGGGGCTCTTTATCGTTCTCAAGTGGCGGATCTGCTGGGCTTTAGTGCCGAAGCCGAGCCTTCCACACACACTCAGCCCGGGACCTGCTCAGTGTGAGAGTGCCATTGTACCCCCCCAAACCCCCCCCCCCCACCTATTTAACAAGGCGGTGTGTGAAAGAAGAAAGCATTCAAAAGAAATACCTCCAACTACATAAAAAGGCAAAAAGGAGTGGCACCGTCGTAAAGTACCTGCAGCATGTTTAAAGGTTTCATCACGGCGCAATATTTATAGTTCTTCGATTCCTTGTCAGTGTTTGTAGCCAATTTGTTGAGCTCCAATAAATAGACCGGCCTATTTATCAGCAGACCACATGGCAGCCATTTATGGCACCTAACAAGAGGCAGATGTGTTTTGTATATGTTTTCACATGCAGGTTTGACGCGCTGACAAGCCGAGACAGATAGCTGAGATGTACAACCTCTGTCCCCGCTGCAGCACCGGCTGTAAACACCAGCTCTGATTAGACCGTGGAGAACACAAACATGCCTCTCTGGACATCCCCGAGCCTTATTTGTCTTCCCGTGACAAAGGTTTTTGATTCATACTCCGGCTGAGTCCCTTTGAGTGACGTGCGCTGAGGGAGTGTGCACCTTTTCCTGTTGCCTGTGAGGTCTGTGCATGCGTGTCTATGTGAGCGTAAACACAAAATGTGAATTTAAAGAAAGTGTCTATTTCTTTGTACTTCCTTGTATTGTGTCAAACAACATTGACCAATAGAAATATACCTTATGAAAGCAAAAGCAATTGTTCTATCTTTCT